TCTATTAACTTTAATCATTTCACTGTTTTCCATGGTGGATTCAATTGCTCTCAAAAGGTGTTACCTGAATTACCTCATATAGACCGTCCATCTGATTTTAGCTTTCTGGAAAGACGAAGACGACTATTGTAAGAACTTGTTGTCCCAGCTCAAACTCCTTTTCACAATGTGCCTATCATGCCATCTCTTTGTCTCTCCTTGTACAAACTAGCATGCTCATCGTTGCCAATGACGAAATTCACGTCCCTCACCTGCAAAAGCGTTTAGCACTGCCACTTGCACATCAAATTCAACAATTTAGTAGCCAAAGCTTTGTGCTCTAATTCCACGACAGGTAACATGCTTTTCCAAATACTAACCTATAAGGTGACATACCTATGGTGTTTTAAAGGTTGTCCTATTGCCCATAAGCATCGTCTAACTTTGTCGCCAACATCTTTCTAGAGGCACTACAGTCTTTTCTAAAATGTGTTTAGCTCTCTATTGAGACCTCTACTTAACCAATAGTTTGGGCAGGTAGGGAGTGGCTACCTTGTGTGGTGACTCCATATTTCTTTAAGAGTGCATTAAATTGGTGGATTCAAAAATGCTTCCCACCATCACTAATGATGTGCCCTAGGAATCCATATCTAGTGGAAAATATTCCGCTAAGGATTCGAGTACTATTCTAGAATCATTAGTTTTGGTGGCAATTGCCTCCACTTATTTAGAAACGTAATCTACTGCCACAAGTTAAAAGCATCCATACGATGATAGAAATGGTCCATGAAATCAATACCCCAAATATCAAAAATTTCACACACCAATATATATTTGAAGCATCATCTTTCTTAGAAATGAATAGTTCCTTTGGCAACGAGCACAAGAGGTACATACCTTTGAGCATACCCGAAAACACAGTGGGCAATAAAAACCTGGTTGCAACCCCTTTGCCGCATGGATTCGCCCGCAATGCCCTCGGTTTCTCTATCATGGCAATGACTCAAAATAGCTCAAATCTCTCTTTCGGCACACATTTTGACAACTTGATCTGCACATAGTTGTACAGTAAGGGTTTTCCACAAATAAATATGACACTCAGTCAAAAAATTCTCTTTGCTGGATGTAAATTGCTCTTGGAATCCAGCCTCTGCAGGAAAATAGCCAAATCAGCAAACATGGAGATTTAGAAAAGAAGAGTTAAGAGATTAAATTCGCTCAGGAAATTCTGCACTATATCTTCGCTCTCAAGGATGACTTTCTAGTCGGGACAAATGAATCAGCAACTGATTTCTCTATCCCCTTTCGATCTATCTTCCAAATCAAACTCTTGGAGGAGAAAGGAACCATCTAATAGACTGTGGGTTTAGCATCCTTGCAAGAGATGTCGAGAGCTGTGTGATCTGTGTAGACTATGGTTTTCGTGGCCTATGAGGTAAGATCTAAACTTCTCGAATGCGAAACCACTGCTAGTAATCCTTCTCGGTTGTTGTAGTTCAGTTGCGGACCATGTTAAGGTATGGACTGGCCTAGGATATGACCTAAAACATTTTGTCGTCCTTGACCGAGAGCAAACACCGGCATAGTCACTCGTGTACACATATTTCAAAGGGTGTTCCAATTTGGTGTGACCACTAGTGGTACTGTCACTAGCTTCTCTTTCAGCAATTAAGGTGTGCAAACATAGAATCAAGTTAAATGGATATCCTTCGCAAGAAGATTAGATTAGGGTTTGCAAATTTTTGAGAATATTTAATAAATCTTCTATTAAAATCTGCATGGCCAAGGAAACTTCTGACTGGCTCGAACCATCGTCGGAGAGGGTAATTTTTCAATCACTTCACTTTTGCTTTATCAACCTCAACCCTCGCTCAGAGATCTTGTGTCCAAGCATGATACCTTCTGTACCTAAAATGGCACTACTCCCAATTCAGCACAAAGATTTGATCTCACAATGCTGTAAAACTAACGCAAGATTTTGCAAACAAGATCAAAGGTTAGTCCATACAACGTAAAATCATCATGAAAATTTCTAGAAATTTTTCAGTCATATCAGAGAAAATTCCGTCATGCAACGTTGGAAAGTACAGCGCATTACATAAACCATGGCATACGTCGTAAGCGAAGTGCCATAAGGACAAGTAATGTTGTTTATCTTGGTCCTCTGGAGCAATAGGAATTTGATAATAACCAGAATAGCCATCAAGAAAACAGTAAAATTTATTACCCGCTAATCTCTCTAACACTGATCATAAATGGCAATGGGAATGGTCTTCTAGTGGCAGAATTTAATCTTCTTAGTCTATACACACACGCCATCAGTGACATCCTAGGGGGATAAGCTCATTATTTCATTCTTCTTCACTACAGTCATTCCCCCTTCTAGGCACTACTTGACACATGACTAACCCAATTACTATTAGGATAAGGATAAATAATACCTGCACGAGTAATTTTACCACTTCCTTTCGTACCACTCTCTGCATGGCAGGATTTAATTCCTTTGCGGTTGTATTGTTGGCTTGAAATTCTCTCATGAGGATCTGCATGAGAGTGGAAGGGCTTATTCCCTTGATATCATCAATGTCCATCCCATCGCCTTCTGTGCTTCCTCAAAATGTCTAACACGGACTCTCCTCCAAACTGTCAAGATGTAGAAAATACACAGGAATAAGAATCTATCTAGAAACGCATATTAAATGTGAAGGAAGAGGTTTAAGCTCAAGTTTAGGAGCCTCATTGGGGTTTGCAATCCTTTTAGCTCCATATATTATCAGTCAGAAGATTCTTTCTCTAACGCTTCAGCTTCTTCTCTCAACGCACGGGTCTTCATTCTTCTATTGTGTTGGACTCTATTAGACATCCCTCAAAGACCCTACATAAACTTCTTCTCTATGACCACCTACAATCCACCAAAACTGTTAGAGTGAAACAAGATTCAATATAAAATGTATAGGATTTTTCATCGCTTTATGGACATCAAACACTATTTCTTCATCATTTTAGTCTTAGAATTAATTTCTTGTTGCACGTCTATCAGAGCACGAGCTGTCGCTAAAAAATGAGTCCCAAAATTAGAGGCACCTCCGGTCCTCCTCCATATCAGAATGCTCACCGGAAAGATAAAATTTGTTGACTTTAACCAAATGTTTCAACAATGCCTTTAAGTCGTTTGATTGATCTATCAGCAAGCTGGAGCGACATGTTGTCTCTTTCACTTCTCCAAGTCCCGCTTCTAAAAATTGATAAAGGCATTAAATTAATACTAGCACCCTAAATCACACAATGCTTTATCAAAGAATGAATCTCCTAATGCCAAGGTATAGTAAAACTCCCTGGATCTCTCAGTTTGGAGGTAATTTATTTTGCGCTATGGCACTGCATTCTTCAGTGAGCATAACGTTCCATGCTCCTCGATCTTCCGCTTGTTGAAAGGAGTCTTTTAAGAACTTTGCATAATAGCATCTGTGCTAAGCTTTAGCGAATGGAATATGTATTTGCAATTTCTTAAAGACCTCTAAAAACTTTGAAAATTGTTGATCCAGTTGTATCCTTCTAATTCTTCAGGATAAGGAATTTGATACATCTTTTTAACAACAATGAATCATTAATTTGAGTCTTCCTTTTACTTTAACATCTTGGTATGCCTTACCTAGTCTCTGTCTCTTTTTCTGAATTTGCCTTCTTTTCCTCAATAGAGATCGGTAACTCTACTTCACTTTCCGCCTTCTTTTGTGATTCTTCTTCACCAATCACCTTTCCATCCCTCAAGGTTATGGCCTTACATTGCTCCTTTGGGTTCCTTTCTGTGTCACTCGGTAAATGCCCTTGCTGTCTACCCGAAATGATATTGGCCAACTGGCCAATTTGAGCTTCTAAATTCTTGATGGAAGCCTCTTGATTCTGAATTCTTGTCTCTGTAGTACTTAAGAACTTCACCATCATCTCCTCTAAATTTGATTTCTTCTCTTGAGATTGAAAACTTGGCAGTGGAGGTTTCACTTGATTGTTGTTTCTCCAAGAGAAATTTGGGTGATTCCTCCACCCCAGATTATATGTTTCACTGTATGGATTATTATTAGGCCTGCGAAAATTTGAAACATAGTTAGCATGATCAGGCATAGAATTAACAGCAAACATGTTACCTGATTGACACTCATGGTTAGGGTGATCTTCGCCACAAAAATCACACATACAAGCAACTATTGCAGGTTTTTGCATTTGAAGTCCATCAATCTTCTTATTTAATGCTTGCATTTGTGCTGCCAAAGCTGTGATAGCATCTATGTTATGAACATCCGATGTTCTTCTCACAGGCTTACCTAAAGTACCACCGCAATAGCATTGATCATATTTTGAACTTCACTATTAAGACCATTATAGAACGTCTGGACTTGCAGCCAAACCTGTAATTCATGGTGGGGACATCTCTGGAGCATGTCCTTGAACCTTTCCCATGCTTCGTATAATGACTCTGTATCCACCTGCACAAACATAGTAATATCATTTCGCAATTGTGCAGTCTTTGTAGGAGGAAAATACCTACTCAGGAATTTTTGTGTCATTTGCTCCCAGGTTGTAATTGAGCCGGCTGGTAATGAGGTCAACCAACTCTTAGCTTTGTCTCTTAATGAAAATGGGAACAATCTTAGTCTTATAGCTTCATCATAAACTCCATTGTGCTTAAAAGTATCACAAATCTCCAGGAAATTTGCAATATGTAAGTTAGGATCTTCATCTGCCAAACCACCAAACTGCACTGACTGCTGAATCATCTGGATGATTGTTGGCTTTATCTCAAAGGTGTTGGCATTTATCACTAGTTGTCGAATGCTCGATGTTGCTCCATTTAGAGATGGGGTAGAGTACTCATTCAATGTACGAGTTGCTGGTGGTGTTCCATCATTTTGGTTATCGTGATCACCCATGATCTCCCTTTTGATTGCTCTCTTTCTTGCGTGAAAAGTGCGCTCTATCTCAAGATCAAATACTAGTAAAATCTCTCCAGAGGCTCTAGTCATACACTAGCAGAAACACCTATTGGTTTCCAAAAAAAAAAAAAACAAACAAACAAAATAAAAAAAAAAAATCTCAAAGTAACAAATAATCTTAAAATATTCACAAACAATCTGATGATCCCCGGCAACGGCGCCAAAAAACTTGATGCGACTAAATCAACCTTAGCAAGTGCACTAGTCGTGTTCAAGTAATAAAGTGATGAGTTTGAGTATCATCCCACAGAGATCAAAGCGAATATTTGTAATTACCTAAAACTACTTACACGTTATTTGAGAAAACGAAATCTTAGAGTTTAAAAGTAACGGATTAAAAATAATTAAATTAAACAAATAAATAATGTGATGAACTTTGCAATATTAATGAAGTTAGGGTACAGATTTCCCCCTAATTATGCTTGACAACCACTCTTAATACCTGTTTGTGCTATGAATTGGTAGGATTCTTCTAAGGCCAATTATCCTTATTCAGGCATAATATTCAACTTAATACAGATCCCTATTCGGTTACTCTAAAATTAAGAAGCATAAATTCATCAATCCCTTACGACTAATTCGCCCTATTCGGTTATGAATTAGATGGACCACAAATTAATCCTAGAATCTCTATTCGATTACTTCTAGTTTTAATATGTTGTGCAATGTTATTCCCATAGAACAATTATGAATATGAATTAAGCAATAAACCCTAACTTCTCTATTCGAAACATCATCAAGGTAATTGAATCAATCCAACATTCATAAAGCATTAAACCTAAACTCTTGCACAAATTCATAAACATAAATCTGGTATTAAGAATAAAAATTGTTCAAAACATAATTAGGGTTTCATCCTCCCCTAACAAAAGAGATTTACTCCATCCTAAGAACAAAGAAATAAATAGAGAAGAAGGAAAACATATTCAGATTTGAAAAGAAATAAAAATCAAACTCTTAAATCTGATCTTCAGTCTTCAAGCCTCAAGAATGCGTCTTCTCCTCTCAAAAATATGCAAAATTCCTCCCTTGACAACTGATCTCAATTATACTTAAATACCCAAAAGAGTCCTAAGTGAAAAAGGAAAGAAAAACTGATAAAAACGCGCTAATAGTTTCCACCACAACCCTGGCCGTGGCCGAATTTAAGTCACCACAGCCTAGGCCGTGGTGCTTCCTAGTCTCTTTGTTTTCTCTTTGTTCCATCACCATGGCCATGGTGAACTACCAAGGCATGGCCGTGGCCTTCAAGACTGAAGGGCAATCTCAACTTCTTCAAGCTTTAAGTCCTAATTTCAATCCAATACTCCAATCTACTCAATCAAAGCCTAAAAAAAAAAAACATAAAAGTTATCCAAATCAATAGGTAACCATTCATATCTCAAACTTAACAAAAATAAACAAAAAAACAAAGGAAACAAATGAGAAGTTAACTAAACTAACATCAAAACAACCTAAAAAACACTCAAATGATGCAACTTATCAATTACAATCGCATCATGGTTGTGGTGAGGAGATTGTTCACACTTTTCCTTGGTGAATCCTATCACCTCGCTTTCTTGCCTGGGCCACTTCGGCGGCTTTTGCTCATAGCTCATTACTCGAGAAACCGAGTCTATCCTGGCCTCTCGTGCATATTGCTCGTGAGAGCGCTTGAAGCTCCCTGCAATGTCAGGTACCCCATAGATCATACCCACCAGTACATCGTTGTTCGATGAAGCTTGTTGGACCTGATTATTCTTCTCGCTTGGATTTTTGCGAGCTAGCGCCTCCTAGACAAATTCTTTCAAGTGGCCTCTTCTGATCAGATCTTCAATGGCGTTCTTAAGAGCCTGACACTTATTGGTGTTGTACCTAATGTCTTGGTGGTACCGACAGTATTTTTGGCAATCTCTTCTGTTTGGTGCCCCCCTCATTCTTTCTAGCATGGCAATTTCTTAGCCTCACAAGAGACTTCATAGATGTGAGCTACATCTTGAGTCAAAGGGTGTACTCTGCATACCGCATAAAAGGTTTCTTTTCCCTGTGGTTTTCTATTCTTTGTCTTTTTTTGGAACCTATTTCAATCCCTATTATTGTAATCTTGGCCCCTCCATTTGTTTGTTGAGCGATCTTGTCGCCTGTCAAGGGCTCGTCTAGGCGAGCTTCTTGCCAAGGCCACCAATGAGCTTTCTACTAGCTGGTGTTTGGCGGTCATTTAATAGAACTTGGCCAAGATTACATGGTCTTCGCTCTCAAGCTCTTTCCACAGCTCTGTCTACAGCCTTATTCTCACTATTAGCAAAGTTCAGATTAATTCCTCAGGTGCATCCACAACCTTTGCTTGTTCATTCTAAAACCTCGTTAATTACAAGGTTAGAGTTTCATCTCTTTCCTGACGAATATTGCTCAGATAGCTAAGCGACATTGCGAACTGTCTCCTCACTTGGAATTGTTGTAAGTATAGCAATGAGAACTATTGCCAAGACTGTATTGAGTTCGTCTTAAGCCTTTTGTACCACCTCTTGGCATCCTCTACTAAAGTGACTGTGAAATAGCGGCACTTTGCCAAGTCAGAGACCTAATGTAGCTCCATCAGGTCGTTAAAAGAGTCAAGGTGGTCTTTGGGTCCCCTTTCTCATCGAACTTGCTCTCTGGGGCCCTGAATCCTTAGGGGAGCAGGGCCTGACAAACTTCCTCTATAAATGGAGAACTCACTATTTTTCTATTGTTAAAAGAGTCAAGGTGGTCTTTGGGTCCCCTTTCCCATCAAACTTGCTTTTTGGCGCCCTGAATCCCTAGGGGAACAGGGCCTGACGAACTTCCTCTATGAATGGAGAAAATTCAGGGCCTGACGAACTTCCTCTATGAATGGAAAACTCACTATTTCTTCTGCCGCATTATTCAAGCATTTTTGTTATCCAATCTAAGTCCTCATCATAAGGAGTACTCTAGCTACTAGCTATGTTCAACCTTACCTTGAGCAAGTGAGTTCGGAGATCAATTGCTTGTGAGCCTGCTCTGTCGTGTGCATTGGTGCTCGAGGTGGAGTCATGATGGCTGGGTTGATAGGTGCTATCATGCTCATATGTGTGTTGCTCGGGACATTGGTTAAAACCAAAATGTCTGTTATTACTAGATTGGCGCACGCGACTAAACTCGCGAGCTTGCGAGTTGAGTCACATGCGCTAATCTAGCAATAATGAACCCCATGTTAGATTAGTGCACTCTACTCAACTCGCGAGCTTGCGAGGTTTGAGCCTGCCTTTGGCATGGGTTAAAACCAACACGCTGGCGTTGATTGTTTCGCTGATTAGGGCAAGCATCCCTTTGTCAACCATGGGGTTCATTTTCCCGCATTGATTGTTTGCCTGGTTGCCTCCCGGGGTTAACTTGCCTGCGGGATTCACGCATGTGAGAGGAATACGCCTTGTGGTGTTGGGGTTGACGGTCACTCATTGGTGCTGACAAGCCAGATTGGTCGTTGATTGAGCCATTCCGACCTATTGGAGTAACTTCCATGAAGTGTGGCTGGTCGAGGTCCTAGTGGGCTGCCTGCTAATTTCTTAATTCAGCCACATTTTATTACATTGCCTGTATAACCATTGTTCTTATCATTTCCACCAGCTGACCATTCTTGAGATTCGAAGTCCCTACCCCCTACTGGTTTGTAACCTACTGCATTGGCGGCATTGGTGGTTGGTGTGCTGTCGTAGGCACCCAGAATTAAAACCCTAAAAATACACGTAGTAGTGTAAGTAGGGATCGCTCCCACAGAGAGTGTCTAGCCGAGTTTTACGTTACGTGAACCAGTATGGGGGGGATTTGAGTAAAAACATAAACAATTTCAGGAAAAGAAACTCAACCTAAATTACCGAAATCAATCAAAATAATGAAACTTGGTCTAAGTCAACATCCACCATCAGAATCTTACAACTGATCATTGATGCAAAATTAAATCAATTCTTACTCTCAGTATTCACCGTTGGAACTATTTTCCTATCTCTCCTTAGTTGTAGTTAATTAGGAAACAAGCAATCTAATTAATCTTACTACTAAACAACCTTAGACAAGCGCTAAAGATTTAATCTAGTGGCAGCCATAAAAACTAGAGAGATCGATGAAGCTAAACAACACAAACTCAAGCAGTTGTATTTAATTTAGTTGAATGTTCTTCTTAAGACTTAATAATTCCTGACGCAGCAAATTCTTAAACCCTAATTGTTTTACAAGTTAAAGGGATCAAACAATTACGGATTTGATATCTAACTTAGCAGTAGATTGCAATAAATAATAAACTAGTAGGCCTCCTAGTAATTAAACGCAATAATCATGATAATATGCATAGAAGAACATCCAATACTCAAAACATAAATTGAACACAAAAAAAATTAGATTAGATCTCACAGTTTTATTGATTCGAGGTCTCTGTTTCCTTCGACCAAGTTATGAAAATTAGCCGCTCATGGCCATCACGAAAATCAAAAGAAAACAAATTCAGAAGAAAGGAAGAGAGGCGTGTGTGATCTCCTCCAATCTGATCTCTCTCTGCTCTTAACGATACCCAATTCAAATTGAAGTATTTGAATTCTACTAAATCTCTTAAAAATATTCTAATATCCTAAAATAATATTTATCCTAATCTGATTTTGATTAATTGAAAATAAAATAAAGTCCTAAAATAAAATAGGAAAGTGGTGTGTCCAGCTGTAACTTGCGTGCAATAGGTCTTCAAATCTTCCAATAATAAACTACCTAATTGAATTGCATGACAAGGCGGAATGTTCTAGAACGTCAACAGTGCAGGTTCATCAAATTCAAGCCCGATTACAACCTTGATAGCCAGTATCTCTTTCTTAGGGTTCCACAGCATTTTGAATTATCTCAATCGGAGCTCGGATGAGAGAGTTATTCCCAGATTACGAAATGATGTCAAAACTATCCGAATTCACCTAATTAGTTCCGTTTTGCATTTAATGCCTCCATTTGCCTCCTAAATCAAAATAGAACAATAATGAGTACATTTAGGCAACAAATAAGTATAAAAGACT